CTGCCTGACTCAGTCTATTAAACTCTTACTACTCAGCAGCTCCCTCCTCTTGCTGATATATCAGCTAACCAGTTCAGCATTATGGAGAAGCAGCTACAGAGAGCAGCTGCAGCCAGTGTTTCTCTTACTCTCCATTTTTAGCCAAGCACCTGGCTACACTAGTTTACAACTGATAATGAGATCTACCGGCTCCATCAGTTTGGGTTTTTTTAGGGTTTTTTTTGTGCCATCAACTCCAGTCTGAGTCCCAGAGACTTGATGAATTAGAGCCAAAAAAAGAAATTGGCTTTGTGATAGTCTGGCGATATCCTACAATGTTATCCCCACAGCTGTAGTTCAATGTGTTCAACCATATGGTAATTGGTCTTCCTCTTTGCCTGGTTCTTTCGATCTTCCCAAACATTATATCTTCTCCAGTGATCTCTCTCTTCTGACAGTGTGACCAAAATAGGACAGTCACAACTTCATCATTTGGGCTTCTAGTAACATAGCTGGTTTGATCCCTTCCAAAATTGATCTATTTGTTCTATGGGTTGTCCACACACACATAAAATTCTTCTCCAGCACCAAAGCTCAAATGAGTCAATCTATCCTGTGTCCGTAGTGTTCAGCTTTCACAGCTGTAATTGACAACTGAGAAAATGGGTGCATGGACGAATGTGATTTTTTTTTTTCAGTGTAATTTCTTTGCAAATTAAAACTTTGTTGAGAGTCTTCATTGTGTAGCTACCAAGTGCTATTCTGTGGAATATTTCCTCACTGCTAGTTGCTTTTTTGTTAATGAGAGAGCCCAGGAGATTAACAACTTCTATTCTGTCTCCATCAATCTCAAAATCACCATCATTTTCTGTGTTCATGATCTTTGTCTTGTTTATATTCAGTTCTATTCCCATGTTACGACTTTTGGCTTTTAACTTTTCTGAGTAGATATCTTTTTTGCTGCTGGTGATTAATGTTGAGTCATCTGCATAACGCAGGTTGTTTATGTTTCGGCCATCAACTTTGATAATGATAAACTATTCTTTCAAATATACTGTTCTGACGGTGGCCTCACCATATAGGTTGAATTGGTAAGGTTTAAGATACATCCTTGCCTGATTCCAGGTTTTATCAGAAACCAGTCAGTTCTCACTGCAGATTCTTGATTTTTGCAGAGGCTCTTTATTAACAGTGTTATGTGTTTAGTTATTCCTACAGTCCTCCATAATTAATCATGATCTACACAATCAAACTCTTTGCTGTAGTTAATGAACCAAAAGTATGCAGTCTTTTGGTATTCTTTGATTTTCTCTATTATCCATCTAACAATGATGTCTCTTGTTCCTCAGCCTTCTCTGAACCCAGCCTTAACTTCAGGTAGTACTCGCTCAATGCTTTGCTCTGGATCAACTGTGGGTATAGGATTATAACTTTTTTTTTTTTTTATGGTTGAACTGGATGGACTTTTGTCTTTTTTCAGCCAGACTAACTATGTAACTATGTAATATATGATTGTATTCATATTTGTATTATTTTCAGTAATATTTTGCTGGCATGTGGAATTAATCCAATCATTTATGTAGTTGTTACAATCTTTGGTATCTCTTTTCTTCAGTATAAATGAAATGAATAATGATCTTCTCCAGTCGATTGGCCATGTTCTTTCCTTACAAATCTGTTGACATACAGTAGCTGAGTAAGGGCAATGATAGCACCTTTTGGAGCCTCTGATTAACTCACCTGGAATACCATCAATACTTGGTGACTTATTGTTTGATAACGCTTTAATTGCTACTATGACCTTTTCCTTTAGAATATTTTGGCTCTTGTTCAGCGTCACTGTCTAATTCACTTTCTACCACATTATGCACACTGCTTCTTTTTATATATATTTTCGGTATAATCTTCCCATCTCTTTTTAATGTTCTCTGGATCGTTCAGTATCAGTCCATTAGAATCTTTAAGCATCCCCAATCTAGGTTGGAATTTCTGCCGAAATCTCTTAGTGTCCTAAAATGCTAGTCTGGTTTTTCCTTTTACGTGCTCAGCCTCAATTTTCTGACAAATATCCTTGAGATATCTTTCTTTATCTTTCTGAACTTGGCATTGAAATATTCAATTAATTTGTGATTCTTTTACTCTATCACCTGAAGTTTTGGATTGCCTTCTTTGTTTTGCTACTGTTCTAGTTTCTTCTGAAATCCAAGGTGATTTCTTGGCTTCTTTCTTCATTTTAAATGTTTTTTAAGCTTCTTCACTAATTATGGTTTTGATTTTGTTCCATAACTCTTTGGGCTCCTTATCTCCGATATCCAGAACTGCAAATCTGTTGTTTAGATTAATCTAGTAATCTTGTGGAATATTTTCAATATCCTATATTGGAAGGCCTTTAATGATTGTTTTCTTGCAAAGATTTGATCTTGCAAGTCAAAAGCTCATGGTCTCTGCAAAAGCTCATGGTCTCTGCTGCAATCAGCTACTGGTTTAGTCTTTGTTGTCAACACTGCAGATTTCTACCTCTGTCCTATGCAGATGTAGTCAATTTGATTACAATGCATGCCATTGGGAGGTCCATGTGTATAGCTGACACTTGTAGTGCTGGAATTGTGTATTCATGATAGAAAGTTGGTTAATTTTACAAAACTGTATGAAGTTCTCATCAGCTTAATTTCTTTCTCTGAAGCCATACTTTCCAACCACTGCATCTTCAGATTTATATCTTATTTTTGCATTGACGTCCCCCTGATGATTAGTAAATCAATTATTCATTGCTTGATATATTGCACTTTGAAGTTGTTCATAAAACAACTTTACCTCCTCATCTTCTGCATCTGTTGGTGGAGCATACACTTGAATCAGGGTGACATTGATCGGACTTCCCTATAGATGGATTGAGATGACTCTAGCACTGATGGTATTGTATTTTATTACCGTCTTTGAGAGCTTATTGTTGAGGATAAATGCCACACCGTTTTTCTCATATGTTTCATGACCAGAGTAGCATAGCCAATGTTCATTTGTTTTAATTTGTCCCTGTTCCTGTTCACTGAATAATATATCAATGTTGGCTTTATCCATTTGATCTTTAACCAGGACTTCCGATAGTACTGGGGTGTCGTGAAGTGGCTGTGCAACTTACACACGTATTTGCAAATGTGTGCAAAATAAACCTGTTTTAACAGGAACTGTGAGACAGGATAATTTGGTTGGTTGCAGGCTGGTTGGTAAGTTGAACAGGGAATTTTTCTTTATTGTTGTTTGACATGTGTTACCCTTCCATGTGCTCCTTGCTACAAAGGCCAGTTATAGTGGCAGTTGCCATTTGTTTGTACTGTTGGTGTATTGGTGAGGGGATACACAGGACACCTTTGCTGCTATTGTGCTATATGCTGGGTGTCCAGTGCACCCCTGTGCCTTTAAGGAGGGATGGGCTCTTCCAAGCTTACCTGCCCTCAATCTATCCATTATTATACACGTGCTTCTAATATGAAGGCTCTCAAAATGTAAAGTTAGGACTGCAGATAATATTGGGGTGTCGTGAAATGGCTCTGCAGCTTATGTATGTATTTGCAAATGTGTGCAAACTAAACCCTTTTTACCATGAACTGCTAAACAGGATAATTTGGTTGGTTGCAGGCTGGTTGGCAAGTTAAGCTGGGAGTTTTTCTTTGCTGTTTGACATGCATATTCCCTTTCATGTGCTCCTTGCTGCAAAGGCCAATTACAGGTTGGGGCAGTTGCTGTTTGTTTGTACTGTGCACAGATTTGTGCCTACACATGTTTTATTTCAAATTGCAAGGCATTATGGATATGAAAAAATTAGCCACACTCTATGTTTAGGTCATCTATCCATATTTATTGATTGTCAGAAAAGACTGCAATACAATTATCTCTTCACCCAAAAACCAACATTCCTTTTTGCGTTTCACCATTCCTGACTTGCTCACAAGGACAGCGAAATCCTATCCTTGTGTGCAAACCAAGAGTGGTGAAATGCATCAAGGAAGGTTGGTTTCCAGGTGGATACATGATTGTATGCAGTCTTTTCTGACAATCAATAAATACAGAAAGAGGAGCTAAGCTTGGAGTGACGCTGATATTATTATATCTGTGATGAAGCATGGAGATGGTTTGTGGTAGCTGACACACGAGTTATCCATGTGTATTGAGAGAAGAAAGTAGTGAACAGAGCAATGGATTTAGGTATGTTCTCATTGCACTGGAAATGAACTCCATGATGGAAGGTAAAACAAAGCCTATTGCCTGAACACAGTTTTGCAACTTTGACATGTGTTAGTAAAACTGTACATTTCATCACAACTACTTATCCATGTGAATTATACCTTGTTTTTACAGGACAAATTAAGCTTTCATTTGGTGGTAAATGGTGATGGATATCACCTGATATTTATTTTTTTATTAGTAAAGGACAAATAGAATAAAATAGTCTTTTAAAATTTAGCTGTATATTTCTTGCTATTACTGTAACCCACTGCCAAAGAACAGCCCAAAATAAATTCTCCTCCTTCTGACAATTGCAGCAATATCACATATGTGTATATAATTTGTTGTTTGTACCTGTAGTAGGGCCCAGAAACAATAATGTGCATTTTGCTTTTTTATTCCACATAAAAAAACAGACACTGACCCTAACACTAAGACTAATTTAAAAAAATGTTTTTTGTTTAAATCCTACCTAAAATACGCATACCCTGATCTTTGACTCTGGCAATGATCTTTGGCCCTAACCTTGACCCTAATCCTAACCCTGACACTGACTTAGATCATAATCTAGCATTTTTCTTTATATTTTTAATACACTTCTTTGTTCTCTCTCTAGCAAGGAGAAAAGGATACAGTGTATGTTTTTCGTCATTCAGGAGAAGAAAAAACACAGAGGCTGGCTTTGCAGTGAGAGATGACTCTAAGAGCCATTTAGATGCTATCACAGCAATCAGGTGATCAAGAACCAGCTTCCTGGTTCCTGATTGTTAGTACGGGACCAGGGGCGAACTGACAACTCATGGGGCCCCCAGGCAATAGGAGATCATGGGGCCCCTGTGTCCTTGCCTAAACTCAAAAAAGCCTATGAAAAAGGTACCAGGGGCATCTCATGGGGCCCCCTACTGACCCCGGGCCCTCGGGCAGTGCCTGAGTTTCCAAATGATCAGTCCGCCCCTGTACGGGACCTAGGGAGAGCCCAGTTTCTGTGCTGAGAGCACACTGTGTGCAAAACACCTGCACACATATACAGTATGTGGCCCCCTAGGCTTAAAACCCTCTTCCTTGAGGCGGCTTATATGCACACACACGGTGGGAAAGGGTTAAGCCAGTGCTAAAAATGGAAATAATAATGTTGCATTCATGTGTATAAAGCTAATAAGACAAGCAAACCTGTAAGATTGCACAGAGGGCAATAGAGATATGCAATGTACAATATTCTAAAGCTATCAGAATGATTTCATTTTACTCTAGATTACTTGAGTGGTAAATTTTAGATGTTTGCTGTGGCTTGCAGACTTTTCTCTTTGCTTTATGCCTTATTAAATAAATTCAAATCTGTTTCATTATAATGAAATCTTGTGTCACTATTTATTCACATTACTTTATTTTGTTTTGTACTTGATCAGATCTGATAATCTACAAGCTTCTGTGAAAAAAACAGCGCAGCTCAGATTTGCAAGGATGATCTATATTTCACTATGAAGTTTAGTGTGCACACCTATATCTGGCATAACATAACATTGAATGACAGCAACCCTGGAGTGACAGTAATAGTACAATACAGTACAGTAACAGTACTTTTAATTTGCTTGACAGCATGGGAAAAGAAAGTATGGGTTGTCTACAGTATGTCTACCTTTTAAGCTTAGAAAGTGCTGAGAGATCATTAGGGAAGACCCTAGTCCATAGGATGTGCCATTGCCAGTGCAGGCACACATCACCTGAGCCCCAGTACTAATAATCAGTCAGGAAGAGGAGGGAAGACATCAGTGGAGAAGGACAGAAATGGAGAGGTTGATAGTGCTTAACAAACCTTTTTTGTACATAAAAAAACAATGTTAGAAAACTGGAGTTGGGCTTTAATTTCTCACATACTGCTTTGTTCCATTGGATGACCTGAACAAAAAAAACAACCAGGACCCAGTCCCAAATCACTGGAAGTGACGTCAGGGCCCCCCCAGGAGGTGATAAAGTGGATGTCACAGAGGAACGGACTGGGTGAGATGATGATCACTGGGCTGATGAGTGGGGTTATACCTGTTATATTGATATTTGGATGTTTGTGAGCAGAGTTTTAACTGGAGAATCAATAAAGCTATTGGTCATATGGTTTTACACTATTAGTGGCTTTTTAGCGTTTTTTCCAATCAGTAAAATGAAGGCAATATGAGTCGGGGAGTTTCCTGAATGTTGTGGAATAGACTGAATGTATCATACGAGGTAGAGTGATACATATCACATGGATTTTCAATTTGTTTGGTTCTAACTTTTATCAGAAGTTCACATAGGAATTTTTACACCATCGCACTTTATATCTATATGTGGATTGTTTATTTCATTTAAATTTGTGAATCATTTTTTGAGTAGATTAATTGTATTGATAGGTTGTTTGGAGTGATTTTATGCACATGGATTGCTCTAAAGTGCCACCTTATATCTAATTACTCATTAGAGGTCAGTTGTGTTGGTCAACAACCAGGCACTTATGCTACAAATTACAGACAGGTGTCTCCTTACCACATACCAACCTTTTTTTCAAGCATCTGCTAATTCTGGGGTTGCCAATTTTAAAACCCTAAAAATGCATAGGCTTCCATTGCTAAATTCTCATTTTAAAAATGATACATGCCAGGCTGTTGATTCAACTGTTTCAATGCTTTCTGAGTCACTAATCTGTATACAGTATGTAAGTATATAACTCAGGAGGTCTGACTTTCCTCTGATTTCACTAAATAATTGTTTTTTATAGGTCAGTGACTTGTAGGTATTCAGAGCAGGAGACAGCCAAGGAACTAACATATTTATAAGGATATCAGCAGTGGCAGCCTTTACATTTCTATCAGACCATATGTATTGTCAGGGGCAACAGTTGGCAATGGCAGGACAGAGACAGATGGTCAGAGCAAATAATAAATGTTAACAAGGCCAGTAGATAGATGGTCAGGTTATGTACAGACCAGGGGTGGACTGACAACTCATGGGGCCCCTGGGCAATAGGGGATCATGGGGCCCCTGTGTCCTTGCCCACATTCAAAAAAGCCTATACAAAAGGTACCAGGGGCATTTCATGGGGCCCCCTACTGACCCCGGGCCCTCGGGCAGCGCCCGAGTGCTCGAGTGGTCAGTCCGCCCTTGGTACAGAAAGAGTTCAGGTTCCAGGCAGGTAACTGGAGCAATGATGAACAATAGCAGAGGTAACAGGCCAACTATCATTGTAAACACAGATAAGCTGGGAACTACTACAGTCAAAACAATACACAAGAATGATCCACAGCATGAACAGTCAGAAAGAAAGACAAAAACCTTTTGATCATATGCAGGCTTGACATTCTAGCCTCACTTTAAAGTCCACTAATGAGGTCAGGTATGCACAGCACAGACCTCAGCTGCAGTACGAGGAAAAACTAGCATATGGCCAAGGTTCAAGGCTAATTGTTACAAGGTATCCCTGTGGGTAAGCCTATGCTGGGACTCCATAAAAGCTATTACTTCTTTATGCCCCAGTGTATAAAGTTTTCATTCAATCACTAAGAGCTCTAAGAACATTGGCAAATGTTTATTTTCACACCTTATTTTGTGTTCTGTATCTTACACAGTTGTACAACTATCTAGCATAACAGGATATTACTCATTCCAACCAGGCAGCAATCTACAAAATCCCATAGATTTGTCTCGAGATGTCCCAAGACTGGCAGCTTAGCCAGATCTAAAGTGTTTTTACTTGCATGTCATATTGCTGGTAATAATAAAATATAACTTTTAATTTAGGCCCCTTTCACACAGGAATTCTGATCAGGTCCGCTTGTCAGTTTTTCAGGAGGACCTGATCAGAAGGTTCATGACAGGTAGATGTAAACAGACCTGTGTTCGTTGACATCTGCCTACCTCCAGGTTCATCCAGGACCAGAAAAAAAATGGACAAACCAAAAAAGACTGTGTCCTTTTATGTTTTTGCTGACTGGACCAGAGTTAGTCTTATGTAAATGGACAGTGGAGTCTGATTACACTCATCCACCCATAGAGTTGCCAGGGGTCCTCCCGTGTACGCCGTGTAGAAACTGACATCTGTTCCAAACAGCAGGGGATCTGCACATAGAGATAGAATGATAGATGTGCTGTGTTTTAATTTTAAAAAGTTACATCACTGAATGTAGAAAATTCTGTTTTCTTCATTGTACTGTACATGCTGCAGAGAAAAAAGTATCTATATAAATGAGTACAGTTTGTCTCGTGTTTTAAGTAGAAGAAATGATTTTGCTCGTTATGCTTGAAATGTACAATTCAGTCCTCATGAAACCCCTGTGGATATCACTATATGGTATAAATTGCAGATGACCAATTAAAGTAAATATCCTTTGCAAAGCTTTATACATTTGTGGCCATTGCTTGTATAGCCCTTTACTGTTCTTGGCACGCTGTGTAAAACTATAATCATACCACAAAGCAAGAAAACAGTGCTGTCACTTGTGGGGCAGTTTATAAGAGGAAAAAAGAGACTTTGATGGAAATGCCAATCTCAGAGTGTGTCTGTTTTAAACAGGCTCAGGAGGGACAAGGACAAATATCTCCTGAGCTTATGCATGCTTGTCATTTGAGTTGGACAAGCGTTAAAGTGCTCACTTTCTCTGGTGTTTCCTTACTGGTTGATGAGACATACAGAATCCGTGACGGATTGCCAAGGAGGGAGCCATTGTGAAGACAAGTGGAAACATGAAGTCACTGACAGCACAAAGTAGTAGCACAGAAAGCCCTCAACAAGTAAAGTATGTTTCCTGCTTTATTATGAGAATTAGTAATATCAAAACAATTTAAATTTCCTGCAAATTACGTATTGCTATCTTATGAAATGTGTAATTATATTCTTTTTTTAGTTTAACCAGTTCTGTATTTTTTATATACTTCAGGCAGAAAGAACTAATCAATGTTGAAGAACACCTTTCCTAGGAGATAAAAGGAGGCTGCCTTTGATGGCTTCTAATCCTGCAAATTCTAGTTGCCTGGACATCCACTGCTCTCACAACACATCTATACCATAAATATGTAGATGTGAGCAGGACCTAAGGATCTTAGCTTTGTAATAAAAATATAAAAACACAAACAGAGCTTTCTTTTGGTGGTATTTGATCACCACTGGGTTTTTATTTTTTTGCGATATAAATGAAAAAGACCAAACATTTTGAAAAAAAATATTTTCTTCTTTCTGTTTTAAAACATATCTAATAAAAAACTCAGAAAATCAAAATTCTTCAAAAATTTAGGTCAAAGTGAATTCTGCTACATGCCTTTGGTAGAAAAAAAAAAGCAAAAAATGTATATTAATTGGTTTGTGTGAAAGATTGTAGTGTCTACAAACTATGCTATATATACTGAAATTTACTAAGCTATGACGCTATTCTGGTGTTGGTAGTGATCAGTGATTTATTGTGGGACTGTGATAGTGTGGCAGTCAATCTGGCCCCAGCTGACTCTGGCTGGGAGGTACACTAACTGACTGACACTGACATCAATAGTGACACTAATACAGTGATCACTACTAATACTGTTCACTGTCACTGTACTAATGACACTGTCTGGGAAAAAAAACATCTAGGGGCAATCAAAGGGGTAACTGTATGTCTAACAATGTGTAATATGTGCTGCTTTTACTATCTGTCTGCAAAGCAGGGAGAAGAAACAGACAGATCGTTGTTCACAGAACATAGAGTTCTGTGTCTTGCAATCATAGAACTCTGTGATTGGCCACAGCCGATCAGCTGAGTTCAGCCAAAATCATTGTCCAATCACATCACAGGTCGGTGTGCGCATGCCCCGAAACCTAAAGAGGTCACAACGTACAGGTATATGACCCAGCCTGGAGCTGCTGCCCGCTCGCAGTACAACTACTGTGGGCGGGCAGCAAGCAGTTAATTAATCCCTCTGCCAATATATTTGTACGGTTCTCCTGACCTCCCTCTCCATCATTTTCAGGAAATCAGGTGTCAGCTTGGTATTTAAGTATAAAAAACAAATTTGTGTTGTAAATAAATTTCCTCAAACCCTTTCTGGTGGGAATAAATGTTTTTTAGTCCTTGAGGAAACTTGATCAGCACCTAGTTACATACACTATATTGCTAAAAGTATTGGAACGCTTGCCTTTACACACACATGAACTTTGATGGCATCTCAGTCTTAGTCCGTAGAATTCAATATTGAGTTGGCCCACCCTTTGCAGCTATAACAGCTTCAACTCTTCTGGGATGGTTGTCCACAAGGTTTAGGAGTGTGTCTATGGGAATGTTTGACCATTCTTCCAGAAACGCATTTGTGAGGTCAGGCACTGATGTCGGACGAGAAGGCCTGGCTCGCAGTCTCCACTCTATTTCATCCCAAAGGTGTTCTATTGGGTTGGGGTCAGGACTCTGTGCAGGCCAGTCAAGTTCCTCCACCCCAAACTCACTCATCCATGTCTTTATGGACCATGCTTTGTGCACTGGTGCGCAGTCATGTTGGAACAGGGAGGAGCCATCCCAAGTTCTCCTTCTATTCATTTAAGGGACCAACCCAACGCCCTGAAAACAACCACATCACTCTTCCCACAAAGTTGGGAGCATGAAATTGTGCAAAATGTCTTGGCATGCTGACGCCTTAACAGTTCCCTTCATTGGAACTAAGGAGCTGCTTGGCTATGGAAACCCCTTCCATGAAGCTCTCTACGCATGTTGTTGTTGAAGTAATCTGATGGCCACATGAAGTTTGGAGGTCTTTAGCTAGATTATATTTGGCCTTTGAGTCCCTTTTGGTCCGCCTCACGCTCTGGCCTCCTATGCCCGCTCCCCAGACTATTTTGCTGCTGATCCGGCGTGTCTCCACGTAAGCCTAGTTAACATTTTTTGCCTATTGTATGTATTTCTATGTATTTGTTTGTATACCTAATTTGCAGATTTTTACACGCAGTAGCACTATTCTTCCTTACATTCAAGTTACGGTCCTGAAGAAGCCAAATGCACAGGCAAAACGCGTTGACCGTTCTTTGATTTTTCATATTGCAATTTTGTTTCTATGTGTTAAGTGATTAACATGTATGCAAGGGAGGCACTTTGTAATTATTTATGTCCTTCTTTTTTGGCCCCCTTTTTGGAGTTGTTTGTAATATGATTCTTATAGAGAGTATATGGCTCTTTTATGTCAATAAATGGTTGTATTTATTTATTGTGTGGTCTCTTACTGTGCCCAAAAAATTCATTATTTTTGCCGTACTTATTGTCCGTCTTCTTTTTCTTGTTTTCATTAGGATGTGGCACTAGGAAGATTTTTTTGGTATTCTTTTGAGGTCTTTAGCTATTGACTCTGCAGACAGTTTGCCGACTTCTGCACACTGTGCGCTTCAGCATGTGCTGACCTCGCTCTGTCATTTTACATGGCCTACCACTTTGTGTCTGAGTTTCTGTTGTTCCCAGTTGCTTCCACTTTGTTATAACACCACTAACAGTTGGCCGTGGAATATTTATTGGCAAGGAAATTTCATGGATGGACTTATTGCACAGGTGGCAATCCATCACGGTACCATGTTTGAATTCACTAAGCTCCAGAGAGTGACCCATTTTTTCACAAATGTTTGTAGAAGCAGTCTGCATACCTAGGTAGTTGATTTTATACTTCCTGTGGCCATGGAGGTGATTAGAACACCTGAATCCAATGATTTGGATGGGTGTTCCAATACTTTTGGCAATATAGTGTACATTACTCAGGACTGGATTTTACCTCCTGCTTCCCAGGCCATGTCTTGTGGTGCCCATGTCCTACCCCAGTCAGTTGGCTAGCATTAGTATCACACCAACAAGATAAAAAGTCATAACCGAAAAAGACACACTGAGGCAATAGGCAGACAGGTTGAAAGAGTCAATTTTCCTGTTCTACATATAAGTACACCTTGAACTAATGACTAGAAGGATAGAGCTTATTAATTTGGCCATACAGTGGTCTAAATTCTCTGCTGGACTAACTAAATTTCAATCAGTGTGTGGCCTCCCCTGCTTACAGTGGAGCTCTACCCAAAAGGGGAAGTTCCATATTAATGCCTTGTTATCTGCACCCCATTAAGGATTGGCACATTTGGGGAGTGGGAGGGGAGCACTGGTGTCCAATTTTCAAAGGCACCCATTCCCACTTCCACTGTGATTGCCTAGGTGATCAGAAGCAGAAGTTGTCCTCCCTCCTCATAGTCTTCTGGGACATGTGACAGATCCCAGAAGGCTACAGGACCATTTACAAGGCACAGGACCACTCGTGCATGCACAGTGGGCACCCGGATGTGAAG